TAACTTCAGAACATTTACCCCTTTTCGCAATCATCTGTGACGCGTTCTTTGCATTCACTTTTACGTCCGTTTCCTCTATTTTTTATAATTCCCGACGAGAATGTGTACTGTGCTGATTAATACTTCAAAGAAGTCTATGTAAACTTTTATTCACCGTCTCTCATAAAACAGTGCATTTACCCGTAATATTTTCGCCAAAAACATACACAGGGTGTCTCACTTTTTTTTCGATCAAGCTGTGTCAATATTTTCAAAAGTATTATATAAACAAGTCAGCTTTGTTAAAATGTTGTAACAAAAATACAAAATATGAAGGAAATTGTAACTGATACAAGACAAAAATTGCACTTACAGAAGTTGCATTTAACACCTTCAACGACCTCGAATCGTAAACGCAGCTCGCATAAACAGATCAGATGTATAAATCGGATTAAGATTATTAAAACAGTATTTCAGATATTACTTGACTGTGCTTTTTTTTTTATTCATAATGCATTGTAATATTTCAATTTAACCTTATTTTTAGACTTCAACAAAATGCCTTGTAATTAGGAAAGAACCATAGTAGGAACTATTTTGGTGCATTCAAATTGAACGAAGGTTGGGTGCAGTGTATAACTTGCTCTGGGTGGGCTCATGGAGGCTGCACTGATTGGGAATCTAAAGAATTGGATGAACTCGAATGTTATAGATGTTAGGGGCAGTATTAGATACTATATTCAGTTTTACCCAGATATAATATAAAATTGTTATTTTTGGGATTTTCTTTTTTTGGTCAAAATTTAATATGAACTATTGTTCAATGAAAATATTGCTTTAATAAATTACCCTTTCAATTTTTTTTTAATTACATTAATTTCAAAGTTATGCCATTTTATTCTTAGTACACCTTCCCAGATTTACCCTAGTCTCCCTTACACATCGCTAATCTACCCCTATTTCACATCATAACCGCACATCTGTTACCATTTCCTTCGTACTTCGTATTATTGTTATAACTTTTTAATAACGCTTCAAACAATCTATATAGTTTAATACTATAGATAAAGTTTGATCGGAATAAGTTCGGACACCCTGTATATATGTAGATCGGAAGTACCTACATGTGAAAAGCTGTAACACTTATTTAATAATGACAACAGCAACCTTTTTGTTGCCGATTATTATTGCTAAGAAATGTTTCGATATTCTTTCAACTAATTTTTCAGCCTATGAAGATAATTGTCTTTACATTTTATGAATGTAATGTATGAATATTTTCACCATAGAGATACGTTTACATTTAGGTCGACCACAGAAGATCAAACGTGAATAATTATAGAATTATTAAACATTCTATTATTTTAATCCTAATCCTCATATTTATGAGCTCGTGTGAACCGATATTTGACATACTTTTGTATGCAAGGATTTCGCATTTGCATTAGGGCATTCAATGCAATATTCCCTTAATTCATGATTCATTTTCATGATGCGCGCATTTACATTCTTTTCCGTCAATATGAAAACAAAACTCCGTGAACGATTAATGTAACTCTCTTGATATAATGGTTTGCTTGGGACCCTGATTTAGATGGACACGTTTGATCTGCCTATACCGTTGTACTCACTCCTTAACAAAGCTTTTTGACGTATGCAAGTATTGTAATAAGTCGCAATTTCGAAGCTCATTTCTGGTTCTTTTGATTATGAACATGAAAGGACTGTTTCAAGCTGATTAACCTGTTAACTGTGTTCACCTTTCAAACAGAAATTGAATATCTCTAGTTCATCATTGAAAATGAGTAAGAATTATAGCCAACTACATACTTCCTTTTCGTTCTTGCAAATGTGAATATGATGTATTTTACGCTCGATACAGGCATAGCAGAATAATTAAAAATAAATAATCCCTCGAGAAATAAATTATTGTGTTCTAAGCATTAGCTAACCAATGACAAGCTAACTCATCTTACACAGTTAACAGAATAAAGTATACCGCACTCAACATATATTTTTAGTAAATTAAATGCAGCTTTTTACACTTACGGTAGCTGCACACTTAAATACGGATCAAGAAATGTCGTTAACAATTTTTTGCAACGTTGGAAAGAAATCTTGAAATATCGTGACAAATCTTAACAGAAAATTGGGAAGTGATGGACCACTCTTTTAAAAGGTAGAATTTCGTCTATGATTAATTGAATAAAAAAAAACAGAGGTTTACAAAGGAACTTAAATAATAATGTTCAATTGCACAGAAATTATAATACTTTTTCCAAGAATAAACATATAAAAAATTATAACAATGGTGCAACTACCCCATACACTGTGGGTTAATTGAACCAGAGCGTACAAAAACACAGAAAAGCGCAAAAAATGCATAAATACGCTTTAAATTCGATACTGTGCAGCAAAACTTAACCCTTTGCACTCGAAGATCTTTTTGCTATAGGTACATTGCACATCAGATTCATTTCTATATTTGATGTATTTTTATATCATACAAGACCTTGCAACAGTTCATTAAAGTTTGGTTCTTTCAAACCATTTCGCTGCTTAGACATTTACGAGAGGCCCATAGACCTATAGTACGGTGTAATCAATTTTTTACCAAGCGACAATAATGTCGCTTCTCAGTCGCCACTCGAGTGCAAAGGGTTAATAAAACGTGTCCGTTTTTAAGCAGATTTTAAGCGAGATTGCAAGCAAGAAATTTTTACATCCAAGTTAAATTAGGAGGATGGAAGAAGTTACATTTTATCTAAATACAACGCGATTAGATAAACTTTCGGCGGGAAATAACAACATATAGAACTGATATGGTAATGTTCGTGAAACCTAAAGGGTATTTCAAAAAGTTACGTAGGTGCTCAATCTCACACATAGGTTCCATCACTCCCTGATTTACCCTAATTAAATTTCTCTTATCACATAAACTATCAGTTTCATTTTATCCTAAGCGCCTGGTGACTTACATATATACGGATAATTGTCTTCAAACATAAAAATTTCACGTTGCCCTTTTCCTGATGCTGTTCTTGGTCTAAGAGCTAGCTGATTCATTTATCATTGGAAAGCGGCGCGATTGGCTAAGAAAATGATGTATGCCACGAGTGACGAGGAGCTCGAGAGGTTCGAATCTCCTAGGAGGAGCTCCCGTTCCTCCGCTACGCCGAAGTCTTAAGGGTGATTTCTTTTCGCTTCTAGCTTCGCCAGACTAAATTTCGCGCGTTAAGCCTTCGGTGTAATCCTGGCCTTAATATTCAAAAACGTGATCACCCTGCCAAGTATCCCGAAGGAAGGAGCTGTCCCCAAAGAGCTGAGAGAGACCGAACTGGCGAACGGAGGAAGCTTTTCATATGCTAATTGACATTCATCATTTTCTTATGGTACTGACTTAAGTGTGCTTAAGCACGCTAACTCCTTTCTTGAAACGTTACAGCTTGGCCAAACTCCACCGAACAGGACCATGCCATTTTCGAAATTGGACAGTTTCACGATTCATTCTGTTTCCGTGTCTTTGGCCCGACACGGAATAAGAAATCGCACCGATCCGTTTCGTAATGCATGTAACACTCGAGAGAGACTATTATCAGTTAATATATAATTTAACATAACAACTCGAGTGGAATAATATACTTTTTTTTTTTTGCGGTTTAGGTGTGTGAGTATATTCTTCATATAAAGAACATTTTTAGTATCTGAAACAGCAATGTTTGATACAGTGGGAAGTTTTGTATTATTTTTCCAAAGAAGGAAGAGGATTGTAGAGTATGCTAGACACGAAAAATTCAGTTTTGCGACATTTACAAGAGTTCATTTTGCCAACTGCTTCGTTAATCATCACATGTATATACACAAGTATAACTTATTTTTAGATTATTTTTAAATTATTCCGTCCAACTGTTCGTTCTCTATAGCGAAGAGAATAGATTTAAGGTTTCTTATTTTATCTTACTATACCAAACAGAAATTGGTACGATTAAGGGGGGGCAATCTGAATAAAAATTCAAACATTTTTGAAATTACGCTCAGCCTCGCCTGCGTCATTTTAAACGTACCTATATATTTATATGAAAAAGTGAAACGAAAATATTTACTACACAAGAATTTTAGTATTTACCGATTTATCTCAATAGGAACGAAAAAAAAATCATTATAGTTCCATTACATATTTCGTGTTTTGAAGGAATTCATGTATTTTCCAAATTCGTCAATGACGTTATATTAATATTGCCAATCGTATTATCTTTTCTTGCAAGAATTGTAAAAACAATAAAGACTACAATTCCAAAACAATATATTTCTAGATATAAATTTTTGTTAACCTTTTCTATTGCTTTCTAGACGTACATTTTTTTCAGACAACAGACTGTGCAGAAAAAGCGAAAAATGTCGTATGTTAAACTTAAAAATGTGTGTGATATTTCGTACTATAATGAAGTAATTAGATTCGTGCTTCGGCATTCGAAAATCCTTTGATTGGTGAATATTGTTTCGCTGTTTCGAGGCAAAAAATTTCGATCTCCTTGACTATGGTAAGAAGAAAGTATAAAATTGTTTAGCTGAAAATTAGTAATTACACCGACAAAGATTTTCATCCGTAACATCCTCATTGATTGCATCGTTTGCTTATTTAAATATTGCATTATCGGATCATCGGTTTAGTTGACAGCTAGTACACGCAATTCATAAATATTTTCTCTCTCCGATACGAAGTGCGAGTATTACCGTCTCCTGTTATGGCACATGCGTATATTACACTCTACCTTTATCGGAAGATATCTGAGCAGCGTATCTGTAACAAGATAACGTATATACGAGTTCGTCGACTAAAAGTGCCTCGCCTCTGGTCTCACGTTAGTTGCTTTCCCCTTCGTTAGCCCATTTTTCGTAAAACGAACGAAAGTGCACGACCGAACGTGATAATAGGCCGTTTCTAATTCCATTCGCAACACCACAATGTGATTGAACGTCGATTTTTATGATTGCATCGATACGGAAACCGGTGTGTTCAGGAGCGCGTGGAAATATAAGAAGTTGTTTATCGTTCAGCTTCTTCGAGAAGTAAGTTGGTAAAATTTTCTGAAACAACCATAAACACTGGACTAGCCTTCAAAGTATACAGTAAATATTAAAACGATATATAAAAGTTTTGGCGATTTTCCGGTAGATGGAATCTAAACAAGACTTCTAAGAATCATAGAATACGTCATCAGGTGATTCACGATGACACATAAATCTCTACACGTGTAACACATTGTTAATAAGTTTAGCGTTAGTGTGACATACGGAATGTTACGGTACGCCGTAACGTATTTCTCATAAAATCGACGAAAGGTTTGACATTTGACAATTACAAAATTTTAGTTACGTTAAATTTACAAGAGTGCTGGTATGTGTTATTGTTTATGCGGGAGACAAATGAGCCGCTCAGAAGCCAAGGTGGCTAACTCGATCGAATAAAATTTATCAAATTTGTCAGGCACCGAGCTTTGATACTAAAATTGGGAGAATTTGAAAAAGTGGAATCGATCATTTTGGCTTCTGTGTGGCTCAAATAGGGGAGCTTAACTCCATTTTCGTGATACAATACGTGATTCAACTTTCTTGCCGATACATTCATTTCTCATTTACACAAATATTATAACACGTAGATCATAAGAATGGCAATAATTTAAAACGTCGTTCTTCCTGTGAAGAAATGACTATACGTCTTCAAGATGTGGTGCGATCAGAAGAGGAAGGTGGCTTGGCCGGACCAGCTAATCCAATACCTAGTCAGTCGATAGATTGTGGTTGCAAACAGCTCCCGTGTCCGAAATTAGCAAAATTTGCAACACGTCGACTCTTCGTTGGGCTACTGTCATGGGTCGGTTTGATTCAAGCTGCCGCTTACGCATACTTTTACATAGCAGGACCTACGATCGCGAGAAGGTTCCAATTTGATCCTTACATAATAGGCACGTATTTCGATTATTTCAACTGATTTAACGCTTCGCGTCACTACGATCTGCGATGGTGTTTCAATAAACTTTGCTACTGTAACAATCTTCCTATTATCTTCAACGTGAACTTATTTGTATTTCAGAAAATTCTATCTACGACGAAAAACTGTTATAAATCGCTTTTCTTGAATCTTGCAGAGTGGGTGATCCTAATATCGGATTTGACACCATTCCTACTTGGAATACCCATCGCGTATTGGGGTGACAGAATTCACAGAGCAGCATGGATTGGCGCAATAGTTCTTCTGCAAAGTGTTTCGTATTTCATTATGATCATTCCTCATCTGACACATTATACGAAAGTCATCGAAGAAACGAAAAATGTCACGCATATGTCACTATACCCAGGTGAGTATGTTACAATTTAGTACTTGTTTCGAATTGTAAAAGATGTGGATTAGCGAAGTAAGAATTTGTTTAATCAATTTACTTTCGGTAATAATAGAGGAAGTGCAGCGTATTTGGAATACCAGCTTGTTTGAGACGAATAAAAATTTATGACGGGAGATGGAAACGAATAAAACTGCATAATATCATAGAGGAACTAATAAACTTTTATATACTTGAAACTCTCAGTAATAATGAAAAAAGGGTATCGGAAATTTTGGTCTAATTGGAAAATGACATAAAGTAACGATTTTGTTACGGTGCAAAGAAACCACGGTCACTTTATACAGTTACAAAAATTAGCAGATAATAAAATTAGTTTCTCTTATGATCTAATTGGGCACAAAAATCACAATATAGGGACAATTATCTTAGGAAAATACCAATTCTAAGTCTTAAAACTTACTTGCAGTAGTCACAGGTGTAACTTCCGGAGTCATAACCAGCATATTCACAATGCATCCACATTTCACACGTGAAACACTGCACCTACTATTTTCCTCTTCTTTTTGATGAAACAAAACCATCACTACGCTTTGGAATATTCCAAATTACATTCATCTTCGGTATTCCGAATTAGCAACATGGCCTAAAATTTGCAAAATTGACACAGAACCATAGAATTAATATGCAAATTTAGACAACGATTGAATACTTGCTGAAAAACTTTTGCAAATTGACGTTCTACTCCTCTGTAGATTAAAGGGGTATTCTAGTCTAGACTTTTCAAAACAATCGATTTTATTTCTTTACACTTTCTGAAAGTAGACATTTGCAGAAGTATAACTGTCGAAGGATTTTTCCGAATTCGTAAAACTGACGAAGTTATAGATGGTTAAAGAAGACGACATGTAGTCCGTAGTCATAAGTATAGAGAAACTTTAAACGCGTTTTTCTCGAAACCATGTTTTTCTAAAAGGCTGACATGATATCTCAAATTTTAGTTGTCCGATTGACTCGAAATTTTACATTCACCTTCGGTGTGCCGTTATCGTCTGAACCAGAATTATGCCAAAATATATATTTTTCTGATTTTTAGAGCCTCTGACAAGAACCAGAATTATGCCAAAATATATATTTTTCTGATTTTTAGAGCCTCTGAAAGACGAAAAAAAATCGATTCACAAAATTCAAAGTGACGCCATTTTGTAAATTTTCACTATTTTTTTTTTCATTCCGGTTCACACCATAGTCACATTCGTGCTAATCAAGAATCCTTTTGGTTTTTTCATTTCGGATAAACAGAATGGGCGGAATCGTGTTAGCCAGTAGGACACTTTTTTTTAAAGGGACCGCACTGAACGATATACAATTCAGACAGTTTTGATTATTTTCACTTGAAAAAAATTGTCAACTTTCTTAAGACATGAATAAATATGTATGCAAAATGTCGACACTGAGAAACTTATACTTTCCTTACAAAAAATCCCTAAGGACTAAAAAATGGCACTCTAGACTGGAATATCCCCTTAAGTCAGAAATGTGAAAATTCCGATTTGTCCACAAATGGCCATTCGCCCCTATTATTTGCGGTGTTACAAATTGAATAACGTTACTAGATTGCTAGGTCCAAATTACCAACAGTATTCCAAATATGCTGCACTTCCTCTATTAATGTCCTCTGTCTATTCCTTAAATGAAGAATCGAAGTGTAATTAAATACTTTTGCACAGATGATAATCGCGAACTGTGCGCAGAAACTTCATCTAGAATCGTTGCAAAAGATGATGCACCGTGCTATTTGACGTTCGGAATATTCGTCGTTGTACAAATTACATCCGGTGTGGCGAATATCGCATACCTTGCATTAGGCATTTCCTATCTGGACGACAATACAAAGAAGAGACACATAGCTGCATTCATTGGCGTTCTTCTCGCTGTAAAAATTTTCGGAGTTCTTCTAGGATGTTTCTTGGCATGGAGCTGTCTTGGGTGAGTAGCCGCAACAGAAACACATAATAAAAAGAGTATTGCCGCTTTTAACGTTCCTGATAATATTGTAAAGCAAAATAACGTTGGCACCTAATGTTTCAACAATCAATCCTATCTCGAAAATGTTTGACAAAGAAAGGAACGGTATTTGTAGAGTTGAATTGATGATAAAGAAAGTTAATAAGAAGATCACTTTACTCTTTTTCGGGAAAATGTTCAAAAACATTGACATGTGTAGTGTGGTGAACGAATAGATATGAATTTTCTTCATAATTTTGTTGTGTAAACGAATGAATTATTATGTATACAAAACGGAAGACATTCTTTAAGAATATTTCAATGTATAATTTTGCTTGAAAAAAGAGACTTTTACAAATGAACTTCGGTGACTTGTCAAAAATAGTATTGAATTTGTTCAAATTAAAAATCATAGAGTTGACGAAGTTCAGCAGTATTTATATGATTGGCAAATGTAGATGCACAATATTTTTACAGAATAAAACAAAGTACTCACTAAAATTCTTATTGATGCAGAATTGACGCGGTGTCTCTAAGCCCTATAAAATCCTATAGAGAACAGATCGGCGCGTGGTGGTTAGGTTTACCAATTCTCACAATACTACTTATAGTTCCTGGTTTGCTACTTTCGTGGTTTCCCCGTATGTTACCATCCGAGGTAATTGATAACAGCCTTTTACCTCATTTACTGTATACAATATATATACTTAATAAGTTGATTTGTCCGTTAATACACCAGGTTGTCGAAAAAGCTGCAGCTTCGCTACTAAACAACTCCGACAGGCGTCGAACACATCACAGATTAGCCAGCCAAAATGTTGGCAGTCCAAATTATTGGCCATCGTTAGGTAGATTAATTACAAATAAAATTTTAATTCTCCAAATTTTGGCTTGTACCCTCTCTATTACCGCCATTGTAAATTTCATGGGGTACGAGAACCTTATCGCACAATCACGATTTCACGTACCAACACCAACTGGTATGTTGCTTGGTTTCGAGGATCCAATGTCATCGAGAGTAATATCAAGTAGGATGAAGAATCTGTCGACAATATTTTCCCACGTAAATGTACCTGATGCTTGTAATTCATGATTCGTTTCATTTCAGATATCTTGAAGCCTATTCTAGTAGGCTTAATCGTGATTGTTTCGGGTTTTATAATCGCAAAAGCGAGACCTAATGCTGTTAGTATGATATGTTATAGCATAATCATCTTACTCTTAGCGGCTGCAATTATTTTTTCATTATCTGCTGCTTCTTGCGAGAAAAAGACGATTGTCGAAATGGCTAGAGGGAGGTAAGTGCTTCGATTCGCCCCAAGTGAAGTAAAAGAATCGTTAATTTATTCAGAAACGTAAATGTATCTGTTAAACATGTATACTTCTAGCCCGACTTTACTGAGATACTGCAACCTAAACTGTGGCTGTTCGAACGATGCTAATTTCCGCCCTGTCTGCGACAGTAAAGGCATGTTCATCTTTTATAGTCCTTGCCATGCTGGGTGCACTAGCTCTGAGCTGAAAAATGGCGTAACAACTTACAGTGGCTGCAGTTGTGTAGAAGAGGAAACTAGAAAAGTAGGACCTGGAACCACGGAAGCGATTGATGGACCTTGCACTTCGAGTAATTGTCAAATCAGTTGGCTTATATTTGGGGTTAGTGTTTTGTCATTTCTTAATATTACATTTAATATCTGAATATCTTCTCCTGTGTCTAATATTCTAATATTCTACTATTCTTATAGTATTGTGCTTATTTAATAAACGATAGTCGAGCAATTTTTACATTAAAAGTAAAATCGTTCCATCGGTTTCAACAAGAATTAAAATATTTCGATTAACATTTGGAAAATTCGAGACTTACATTTTTCGTGTTTTTAGTTGGGTATCTTTTTGATATACGTAATGGTCGCTACAACTTTTGTGGGAGACTTATTGATAATCTTGAGATCGGTGAACGTACAAGACAAAGCTATCAGCATAGGATTTTGGATGACGTGCTCGGCTATAATTGTGAATGTTCCTGGGAAAATGATTTACGAACTAATTGCAAATCTGACGTGCCAATATTGGGGAACTCGTGGATCTCAGTGCCATCTTCACGATGGTTTCAAGCTGGGCAACTATTTGTACTACCTCACAGGTTCTCTGTTTGTCCTGAGCGCCATATTAAAAATCTTCGTGTGCCTTCTCTCCAAAGAACTCAAGGTATACGCCGAGAAGAAAGAGGTGACAAAATCGAGCGCTGAAATGCAAGAAATGATTCGCCATCCTGCTGCCACGCCTAAACAACAAGAACCCGGAAACGCTGGTAATGGTACTGAACTATTATATTGTGTAACAGCTCGTTAGGCTTCTATTGCAGGTTTTGTACTCCAAATTCAACTTTTTGCAAATTAAATTCACCCTTCTGCAAATCAAGCTTTTCCACAAAATTGTTTTCTTAAGCTTTCGTAATAAAAATCAAATCAAATGTAAATTTCTTGTCAAAAAATTCAAAATTTTATCGTGTTTTAATTAAAATATTTATTTAATAGTAATTACCAATTCGTTACATATGGAATTCATAATTAAACGTGTTACTCGAATAAAAATAAATCACCTACTCAAATTATCACAAAGGCAAATTCATAACAATACTTTAGTTAGACTTTGAAAATATGTTGCAATAGTAATCATTACATGTATGTAAACTCAACATTACATCTTTCTCTTGTGCAGTAAAGTAAAATCGGAGCAATTCTATTTTTCACTAAATGGGTAGTTTATAATTTACGAGAAAGAGTAATTTCCTTTAAATTGTGATTTGAGGTTGGAACGAAATTTAAACAAAAGGGTGAATTTGATTTGCAAAACTTAGCTCAGTAGCATAGCTACAATGGTAACTTCATGAATGTAAAAGCGTCTCTTTCAACACAATGTTAAATCAATACTAACAGTTAATGCTAACAACTATAATCTTGAAAATAAGACAAAAATATCATAATCACTATTAAACTCAGGAAGCTAGAAATGTTTTTCTTAAAGTTTAGATATATTTAAAACGGAAATTTTTCATTTTTGAAAATTAACGTGATAGCTAAAAAGTACATGTAAAAACTATCAGTGAAAAGGTAAGGAAAAAATACGTAGGTATCATACTCTTAATTCTGTGAATTCGTTTCTCATTTAACATGACGGTAATAATAAAATATTGAGCGATGATTGCTCGAAATTTCAGTTTTCGAATTAACAAAATCCAATCGGACTGAAAATGAGTTCCAAAGGAAAGTCGAACTTGATATCACTTATTTTTTATTATTATTGCAAGGTGTACAAAGTGTTAGAACGGAACTGACGATATCTTAGATTTTTGATTCTATATTGCCTCGACCTCTATGATTTGTATACTCTTATTGTGAATCACTATTACTTGTGAATCACGAGAAATTCGATCACATTCGTTCCCAATCACGATGATTTTCCGTGATCGACTCTGGTTGGTGGAGAACGTAACAAGTTCTTTGCACGCGGGAATTTACAGATTCTTTTATCATCATTTATTCTAATCTACGCATATGTTACGTAACATACATACGTGTAAAGTAGTGAAGAATCTGGGAGTCAGGTCAACTTGAGAAACACAGTCTGCTTGACTGTACTACTAATACAAATTCTCCACGAAACGAAATGACTTAATGTGGCATTTGGTTGAACTCGTCTCAACAAACACTGCAATATTAAGGATAGAAAAATATAGCGTTCCATTTCAAGAAATTACACATCTGCAGAAAAATTATTCATATCATCTAATGTCCCCCTATATAACAGACAACTTTTGTAAGAACATTTCTTGACAACTTCAATCCCACCGTTCTCAGTTAAACGAAACAGCCTGTATAACTAAATACATTCGTAATTAATAATTGGCGCGCATCAACGAACAATTTGTCATCACAACGAAACTGGTGAAATACGACCAAGACAATTAGACAGCTTTATCGATAGTAGGCTCATTTTTCTCGCAGAAAAGAATGCCAAGGCGTCATGTAGCAAATTACAAGTGTGTCTAGAAGTCGACGTACGAAGGAGTACCATGTGTAATGGACTAATAAAGAAAAAACTCGTCGAGCTAAAGTGGCAGTGTCAGAATCAAATAAAGATTGTATGGTATCAAAAGTACAACACGATAGCGAATTAGCATCTATCGACTGTTTATGAATGTAGAATGGTATCTAAAATTCTCCGCACAATGCAGGGTGATTCGCCTAATTTGACGACCTGATATTGCTCGTAAACTATTCACTGAACGAAATAATGTATGAAACAAAAGTTACATAATTTCAAGGGGGACATTGTGTTACAATAATTGTTTTTATACATACAGTTTTCAGTTGCCATGATTTTTTCAAATGGAACACCCTGTATTTCTTTCTGGAAATTAAGAGAGCATTAAAAGCTGAATAAATACATATTCAGGTGTAATATGTCTAGAATGAATATTTATTGAGATATTTACAACAGCAGTTCGATTCTATTGAAATCGAATTTACACAACAACACACACAAGTATATTTCTCTATAATAGAGTAGAACTCTGTTGAGAGACCTTTATTTACGAACCACGGTTTACTGTTTTTGAAATATATTGAAAATATTCTTTGGCTTTCACTTGCCCCTGAGTGTGTATAAATTCTTTGGTACTCAAAGTACATTTGTATTTAAATAATTCACAAAAATGAAGAAATGGAATATTCGTGGCTTCTTCGTTGCCTAGTATTTGTTTTCTGCAATTATCTGTATACAATGACAGATATTTTCCTCGCAAGATTTCTATGATTTTATAATTCAACAGCTTCTCACTCGTTGCTTATAAACCATTCTTTATACGATTATTTTAATATTTGTCTTTCTACATAGAAAACCTTTATCAATTATAATCCATAGCCACCAAACAATCGAAAATGCGATTTTTAAGGAAATGGATTACTGTCGTTGTGTTAGACAAGAAATGGATTCACTTCGTTAAATACGTTTTCTCCTTCACTTTTTAATGGTGATACTCGTTTTTACATACGTACAAGTAACTACACAAGCTGTGAAAAGAAATACTTATTAAGCACTAATATAAACTTTTTTGGTTAAGCGCTATTAAACCCAGATCAGCGACACTCGATTAAACGTTTCGAAATAAGACTAAAATTATTGTATCACGTGGCTCTTCCTAGATACTTCACCAGTTCAAGTAGAAGTTACAAACGAAATGTTGGCACCATCGACCAGTTCACCAATCGAAAATCCACCAGTAGAGGAAGACGTTAAACAAACTGAAGAAGCACAACTAAAATACGGCCCCCTGGGTCCCGGCGATCGTCGAACAAACTCGAAATCCTCGTTGAATCAATTGTCGCAGACTGGAAAGTCAGACACGCGGGGCTTGGACTCAGAGGACGAATTAAGCTCCAGCGACGAGGATCAGAAAAAGGGTTCGAGCACGAACGTGGAATACAGACCGCTAGACATCGATTCGGACGTAGAGAGTGATTTGAGTAGTGTAGAGCCGAGATCGCGAAAACGTATCATCTCTAAAGACTACGAGCCTGTCTATAACAACGATCAAAGTGTCTACGCCAAAGCCGCGCTTCCTAAATATAAACATCCCAATCCGAATAACGACGGGGATTCAAAATTGAACAAAGCAGAATACAAGGATCAAAATGAAAACGCAGATGGTTTCTCGAAGACCAGTAGTTTCGAATTCTCGAGGAAGAGACCGGATGACGGTACACAGAACAAAGGCGATTTCAACGAAGTAGGTATACCTATAGTAGATCCGCCGAGTCCTTTCTTGAAAGGTGTGCAGTCGTTGATCAATCGGTACGAGCTGAATACCGAGGAACAGTCCAATGGAGACGAAGAGTCAGTGTTATCGGGGGAAAGTGGAAGACTTCCGGAGGGTAAGATTGTTTCGGGAATTCCATTGGTAGCCATGGCATCGAAAAGACCTTCCTCCAGAGTTCAATCTTCATCGGGGGTTAACAGTTTATCGGGTGGCAGAATTCCCGAAACTCGACCCCAGTCTCCTAAAAGTGTTAGTTCGAAAACGTCCAGCAAAGGGAGTACAGGGACGTTGCACACTGATTTGTAACATCCGATCGACCGACATTGATAGAATTATAAAATGTTTCATTGTTAAACCATATGCTGATTTTCTATTTTCAAACCTTTATACCAGGCACGGGTAACCTTTCCTGGTTCTGGGACCAAATTATCGTTCTCTCTCCGAGTCAAGGGCCAAACTAAACGGGTTTTCGCGTGTGTTTTTATGTATCGATATATTAGTATCTCCGATGTAACGTCCCGACTAGAATTTCAGTTAGGCATGCCTAAAGACGAATGTGGGCCTGATGCGGAAACGATTAGGCGTACCTAGATGCTGCAAGCCTAATCGTTACCGCATTAGGTCCTAATTCGGAAGGAATGATGCATGCCTAAGTTGGGCATTCCTAACAGTTGCCATACGTGGCCCAAATGGGGGTGGCCGAGCGCACGCCTAAGTTAGGCATTCCTAACAGTTGCCATACGTGGCACAAGTGGGGATGGTCGAGCGCACGCCTACATTAGGCATTCCTAACAGTTGCCATACGTGGCACAAATGGGGGTGGCCGAGCGCACGCTTAGGTTGGGCATTAATGTCTCCCAATGACAGCCTAATAAAGCTATTCTAATATGGGCCGCATTGGATAGTCATTGGGAAAGCCTAATGCGGCCCTAACGCGGTTTTCCCAATTAGGCGGTCGTGAATATTCCACGTTACATACTCCATGCGGGCCTAACAGGCAAATTAGGCTAGACTAATGCGGACCTAATATCTGCCTAACTGAAATTTCTAGTCGGGGTTGTATGTGATTATGTATTTGATACAACTTTGGCTAAATGTTAAATAAAAAGGGATAGTATATTAAATAAAATTATAAAATTAAACACGATACTAATCGGTACATAGAGGGTCGGTTTAAAGACTTCGCGGGGACGGATCGCGGGCCAAACTGAAAGAAGTCGCGGACCGTGAGTTGGTCATATGTATGTGCTTTATGCCAAGATACTTTACATATTCGAAATTTCTGGTTGTGCTTCTTCATCTACATTTAATAAAAATTTTATATGTTAAAGCGTAATTTGAGGTACCAGGCAATAATAACGTAATGTTGAATTCTTGTTTTAATGTTAAGTACAAAGTCATTTTGTTATGTTTTTCTAATTCTACTTGATTGCATTGTAGCTTTCGATAATCTACTCTGCTGGAAAGTTATGCAGATCTACTTTAACATTTATAATAACTTCATTAGACACGAAATGCGAGTAAGTTAAAGGAAATAATTTTAAGTAGAGAAAGTGAGAGATACAATATTTAATATCGGTGAGAGTCTTTTAATCAATCGAATTTACTTGAGATTGTACAAAAATGTTTAAAAATGTATAAATGTCGTACAAATATGATTCTCTATCTTTCAATTATATTTTAAAATGCCTAAGATTAGAAACTGAAATGATGTTTTTTAAATATTTTTCATATTTAGTATAAACAGAAAGCATATGGTAAAATCTTTAGGATTAACTAATCAACGATTAAATCACCTTGCTTAATTTAAAAAATATTTTAAAGCCTGTATCTGTTTATGAAAGTTAATTTGTTTTGTTTATAATTTATAACAGTTTCTATTTATGAAAGATACAGAATTTATTAATCAATAATTTTTTATTCTCAAATGGAATTTCAAATGTTTCTAATCATGTTACACTGTTTATAATATTGCTCAATTTCATTTCGCCTTTAAGTCCTTCAAAATCAAATGTTTTTTCAACAGTATTTTTAAGTGACTACATAATATGCCATATTATGACAATCCCAAATTAAAAAATAAACCTTATCAAGATACCCTACTGATAGAAATAACAAATGTGATGTTCTGTAAATTGAGAAATATTTTGGTTAGTAATTATGACAAAAATATCATACCTGAAAAAGAATTTTAAAATCATTTATACCTTACAGCGTAAATTTAAGTTAGAAATATTTATTTATTTAGTTCATTTACGGAATTTGTATTTACCATTAAATGTCCTTAATTCTTATCGTGTCAAGTTTAACATGGACGCGTAGAAAAATTAGTAAGATATTAAATATACATTTTGTAAATGTGGAATGTCAGATGATGCTACTGTAATAATTAGTATTTCTTAAAAAATAAAAATGTTCATTCCATAATATATTTATAAAATGTTTTTCCTACTTCTAATGTACACATGTGACATGTTGACAGAATCAGTTCATTTATTCTTGTGATATTATCTGAACAAGTATAAAAAATGAAAAGAAGACAAATATCCGTATATATTTTGCTCAGAATAAATAAGTGAGAAGGAATAAGATTATCCAGCTACATAACGTGTAATAAGAATACTTTATGAAAGAAAGATGCATAAACTCGACCATAATATTTGAATGATCTGAGATTAACTATATTCGAAATAGAGTTGCTACATGATATTCTATTTCAGTGATATTAAACTTACAACCAGTATGGCGACGATCGGTGGTCAGGGGAGATAGCGCAAAGCAAGCCAATCAAATCTGCTTGCCGTACTCAAATCTGTTGATTGAGCGGCCAAAGGAATGAAATATGGTATAAAAGGACCGCTTAGAGAAAAAAAAAGAGGAACAAAATCGTTGTTCCACACTTCTAACATTTGCTTCTGTGTCACCTGATAATCACAGAGTGCAGACACATACAAATCCACCAGTGCTTATACTTAGTGCATGCTAAATTACGGTCCTTGCGTCGCATCGGGATTATTTTTCAGCCACCGTGCCTATCATCTTCTGGGTCACAGGAGACAGGCTCTTCATCGTACCCTGCCTTCCTAGAACGTGAAACTGAAGCAGCTGACCTCTAACGAGATTAGCACACCTCACCCCTCTTTCACCATATTAACACTTAAAGGCCGCTACAAATCTCTGACAAGAAAGCCGCAGATGTAACTAGTCCACTGTCATCGTCATCATCCTCATCCAACCTCCCGCAAGTATCTTCACGCAATCGGTAAGATACTCGAATCATACTACGCGCTCTCCGCAACCTCCCTCACGTCCAGTAATAGCCAGTAGAATCCCAATACCCACCTTGGGTACCAAAAAGTCCTTCACCGATTGCATTGGTATTGCTTCACCGAAGAAGCAAAAGATCTCATCACAGGCCAAATCTCATTCACAGGGTTCCATCGACTACCCGAGCACACAAATATAGACATAAATGTCCAATTCACCGTGTTTACCGGAAATAGATCCAGTATCCTCAAACCTTTTTCTGGTGCCCTGGTCGAGGCTACACCTTGTGAAAGCACCACATGAGCGAGTACCAGTCGTCCCACCCCGCAAGCGCAGTCAACCCAGCAGCCTATCCCCGCCTTCGAAAATTTAACTTGTAGTTAATAAATAACTACCTTAATCAGATTGACCACAACTCTCGAAAGCCAATACGACAAAACATTTCAACTAAAGCAATCGTGTGCACGTTCAGCTTAGCACCTTTGAACATTTCAAACACCTAAAGGACTCCTTGCTCCAAGGTAACCATTCCTTTATACGTACACTTTAAACCAGGACAAAGTATTGCCCGTAGTCGTACATACTAGTACTCCCATGAGTACTATTGTATTAGATGTAGTAGTACATCATGTACTACATATCCTACACTTCAATACTAGTACAAGTATTGCCAATAGAACAAACTGGCACAACGCGACATTCGAGCAACAGACTTCCAATTTGATCACAACATGCCGGAACAGCAGCCTACACAAGATAACCTTCTCGAGGGGAACCAGTTTTGGTCAAATTAACCAAATTGGATACCTCTTCCAAGTAAGAATTTAGTGGGAGAAACATTTCTCCACAACACCGTACTCCCAACGCTTTGTGTGTCTGGCCTGTAGGCATGCCTTAGCAAAATGTAATTTGTTAATCGACCACTTCTTAATCGAACATTCTAAACTCTTCGGCTGTCACGTTACAATTGATTTCAACACTCAAAATCGCCCTGTTTTTATCAAGGCCGTGGAAGGTGCCAAAGTGAACCTATACAACCAACTGGGAACATTACCACAAGATCACAAGCAAACACTAAATCACCGCTGAACTAACATATGTACACCAAAGACATCGACGAAAACATCTGCCCTCTCACCTCATCTTACAAGACTGCTTTGCATTCAACTTCAACCCTTCCTCAAATCATGATCAAATTCTAGCAAGTTCCTCCATTCACTTATTATGCTTCCAATACTTCCAGAGCATCGTATAACACTTCACAACTGAAATAAAGAAACGCATCACTATCCAGAACAGAACCAGTTAAGATAACAAGATCAAATCCCTCAGCAAAGCTGACCACACCTTGTCCACTTACAAGTTACTCACAAACCGCAAAACCATTCTCCTCCCCCTCACCTTCGGCGGCAAAATTCATGCTTGCGACACTGAGAGGGCGGAAGCCCTCGCGGAATCCTCCTCCCGGGTGCACGATGAAGCATCCTTATTATCTTCTCCCCACGATCGCACCGTTATCCGCTACATCTCGATCTCACCACTCCCACAAGTCCACGAGATGAAATTTACATAAAGCCAAAGGACTTCTGGTCCGCGACCTCTCGCCTACATTAGAAAAGGTCTCCTAGCTGTGACTGTATCACACTCCTGATGCTCAGAAACATATCCCACAAAATTGGGCTCCAACTCTACTATATCTTCAATGGTGCAATTGGTCTCAGACTTCCCAAACCAGTAGAAGATTGCTAAAATCTCTCCAATTCCAAAAACAAAAAAGACTAGGAAGTAGCTAGTTATCGTGCAATCAGCCTTTTTCTCCTCATGGAAAAAGTCTTCGAGGGATGTCTTCGCGAACATGTCACTATTTACCTCAGTACGAACAGTATCATTCTCGAGCAACAAATGGGATTCCAATGTAAATGTTCCACTACCCACCAAATCATCGGTGTTTCTCAACTCATCTCATACGAATTAAATGTCAGACGCATTCCAGCTATCGTTCTATTGGACGTCTTGAGTGCCATTGACACCGCCTAACACGCTGCCCTTCTCTTCAAACTTTTCAAAATTTAACTCCTACTCACATTCATCACACATTTAAGATCGTATCTTAATAACGTTTCTTTTTGTGTCAATTATTGGTCTCAACTCACCCACGCACCTTATATCCGCTGGCGTACCGAGTGCTCCAACTACACTATTTAACATACATATTCATAATCGACATTCCTTTGGCTACAAACTAG